GACTCATCTAAAGTTACTGGACCTGTGCTGGGAGGTGCTGCCGCATCCGCCCTACAGCCCCGACCTTGCCCCGTCCGATTATCACCTTTTCGTTGCCCTGGACCGTCACATGGGTGGAAAGCAGTACGCCAACCAAGACGACCTGAAAACCGATTTGGCCAACTTTTTCGTAGCGCAGCCGCCAGAGTTCTATTGGAATGGCATCCATAGTTTGCATAAACGTTGGCGTGAAGTGATAGAGGCCAATGGTGATTACATTCATGATTGAGATGATTTTGCTTTTAAATACACTGGGTTGTAATAATTGTTCATGAAATTCTGAGAACTTTCTTTCCAATCAGATACAAGTACTTAATACAGTAAAAATTTATTGACTCGAACTGTAAGGGATCGTGCAAATCATTTCGAGTTATCCAAAGTTCAACTTACCAGGAATTGCCCCTACTCTTTAAAAACAAAAACAAAAAAAAACTCAGATAAAGAGACATGACCAGAGGGTAATTTCTCCGTTCTCATGAATCTGATTTCAAGTGATGGCCGAGTGAAGCAGGAATAACATTTTCATTGACTTTTTTTTTTCCTTTGCAGGAAATTTCCATACTTCATATGCAAAATTCATTTATGAAAACACCCTTCAAAATTCGTTGGTTTTATCCTTAGCTCACATGAAATTAATCATGCTCTTCATCACTCTCATTCCAGGGCCCACTCAAACGAATTTTGATGACAATGATGGAGGCCTCAATGACTGGTTCTATCACTGCGGCAACTCTTTACACCTAGTATTTAAAAAAGTGCTAAGTCCCAAAAATATTTTTTTTCCTCCTTCACTGCCTCTATTAATGGCTCCATAGTTTTCCGCGTCTTCATTTGGATTTAGAGCCAAATTCCAATCTCCGCAGAAGATTTCTCCACCTTCTCAGTTGAAATGTACGTCCGTAAACCAAATTGTTTGCTTTCGTATTTGGCATTGGAGCATCTATATTCATTCTTTTTGTTCGCTTGTTTGTTTTTTAAGTTGTGAGAATTTGGGAGCGTATATAATAATCGAACACCGATTCATCGAACGTGAATTCGCCGAAAATTCGAGAGGCCGATTCATCAAATGGACGAAACATCAAATGCCGAATAAATTTACCGAAATGATCGCAAAATCTTTTCGATGAAAGATGATTTTCGTCGAAACATCAAATTGTAGGAAAAAAATAATTTTGACTCATGGATTTCATCACTAACGTCAAGGTCGAATTGTCAAATATGAAAGACACCGTCATGTTGCAGTGCAGTCATTTAAAGAAAAGAACAGAGGAAACCCCACTTTAAAAAAAGACATTTTTCGATGGGCCTGGATGTACAGTGCCGTAAGTACACTGCAAAAGAAGACTTCACCGTATCTTTAGTCCATCTGTGTCAGTCATATTCCAGCAACCAGGCTCAGTGCATATGGAGTATGTCTTCCCGCGAAGCGCCTCTGAGTAGTTTAGTAATGAGTAAAAATATCAATATCTCAAGTTCACTTTTTAACTTGATAACCTCTAGAGAATCTTGGAGTTGAGCTCCGGCTCAACGTTTTACATCAGCCTGACAAGTAGTGAACGACGACTTCAAGGAAATAAAAAAAAGTTGAATGCAGCTAGGAGCCAAATGCCTTACAGGCGCAGAATTATCGGGTTAATGCAAAAATCGAAATCTTAGCGTGTTCACACTTTAGAAAGCTCAATGGTTTTTCGGTGCCCCACTTTCTGTTTTCAGAAAAGACTGTTTCACAAAATTATCCTACCCTTGTGGATCCTTGATCCCTTCTAACTCGATTCAAATGCGCAGCACGCATCGGGATGTATCTAGACCGTAGCCAGGGCACAAGTGACTCGGCACATTAATCAAGACGACCAAAACTTAAAAAAATAAAACCAGTATTTTTTCGATTTTGTAAAAATGACCTAAACCTTTCGATCTCTAGACACTTCTTTGAATGAATCCTTCGATCTATGGTCGCGTTCGCCCAACTGTCTTTCGACAAAATGTCCATTCGTCGACATGAGTTTCGATGATTCGATACCAACCCGAGAATTTTTAGGCAGAAAGAAAAAATGAACACTTACTTTTTTCGTGATTAAAATTAATTAGATGCCAATCTCACAGTTCTTGGAATTTTTGCGTGAAACTTAGCACACAAACCCTAATTGAGTCACACTATATGTATACCAAATGTCATCAAAATCGGCAGCATTAAATCAAATTGAAAATTTACCAAAATTGATAACTTTGGGGTTTTTTTTGGCCCACCCTGTATAATATCGGCTGTGAGACTTCCATACATTCATTTTCATTACGAATACTTCCTTGGCGTTTTCTTTACCCTAAAACTGTTTAAACTAAATAGAGGCTTCATATCTGCCTGAACGCAAAGGAACACTTATACACGTTTTCCGAGATGAGCAAGCAAATTCTCTACCATTTTTGGATGTGAATGGGGTTTCATGAGGTTTTTATCGTTCATCATTGATATAACTTCTTGTTAGTCAAGCATGCTTCAAAATCTATACCCGAGGTTTATCTAAAGATTTAAAATTAAATATTAAAAATGAAATGGTTTACCAACAAGTTACTAATGGAAATTCACAGTAGCCACTATATATTTTCCAATTAGCCAGTCAGGAAATGTATTTAAGAAATAGACTACCAGGAGCAAATACCAGCTCCTCGATGACGTTTATAACTTTCACTATTTCCTGTGCGATTGCTGAGGGCGCTCATCCGCGAAAAAATGCAACTAATGGTGCGAACGATTGGAAATGGAGTGGCCAGTGTTGCGGAGGCCATGCCAGCTGATCAGAATTATCAAGCCTTCTCGGCAAAATTGCATTGAAACTCAAGGGTTTCCAGATAAACATCTCATCGAAATATGATCAGACTTTTTCCACTAGAAATAATTTTTAAGGTCAAAGGAATGATTAATCCTAATTATGCATGTGCTGAAGTAAATTCGGTGTAAAAATAAAAATGTTTAAAAGGTAGAGTTAGTCAATTCTCAAATTGTACAATATTAAATACAAAATCATATGATTCTGAAATTCTGGTGACTTGTCTCAAAAGCTGTATCCACTTCGTTCTAGAGCATGAAGGGGTTTAATTGAACATCCGACTTCCAGTTGTTCCTACCCGTGAGCCGCACCATTAAAACCATATTGTGGAATGGAGCCGCACCAGCAGATTGTGGATAGCCAGGATTCTTCACGTCATATGCAGCATCCAGCATGAGTATTTGAAACATGTATTTTTATTAAGAAGTACATCTTTTGTGTTTTCTCTGCCCTAAACATGTTTAAACGGGAAATGGGCTTCATACGAGCTTGAACGCGAAGGTACCCGCCAACTCGTTTTCCGAAATAAGGAAGCAAATTTGCTCCAATTTTTTGGCTATGAAGGGGGATTCCATCCGATTGTTATCATTTACCATTCATATAATTTCTTGTTCGCCAAACTTATTTCAGTAACTAGAGCAAAGGTTTAATAGAAGCTTAAATACATGCTGCTCAAAATTCATGAGTTAACTATTAAACTACTGGTGGAAATGATCTGCGGCAACACTACATTTCGGATTGGCTCGTCAAAAAATGTATTTACTAACTACAAGGTGTTTAAACCTTTTCTTTGCCAATTCGTTTTTTGTTGGAATGATAGTAGCTTTTATTCGATCGGTCCAATATTTCATTTACGGCATGTGGATAGAGGAAGGAAGGTTTTCGCCAAATTTGAAGGAAATTGATCTAATGTGTCACGTGCTACACCATTTCAGACTTGAAAGATACGAAATGCACCGGAGAGAACTGAGCGTCATCGAGGAAGTAATTTAAGGATGGCGATGGCACTTCATGCTTACGTCCGAAAAGTTAGAAAACATTTTGAACTAATAATGTGACAAAATGTATGAATTTGCTTCAAATTCGGCAGAAACCTTCCATTATCTATATATAGGTTGGGCCAAAAAAAGAAGCTACAAACTTTGTAAATGCTCAATCTGATTGCATGTGGTCGATTTTGATGACGTTGGGTAAACACATAAGGTGACTCAATTATGGTCTGCGTGCCAATTTTCAAAGAAAAACTCAAGAACTATGCGATTGGCATTTAATTTACTTTTCGTCAAAAAGTAAGTGTTCATTTTTTTCTTTCAGCCAAAAAATTCTCACTACTGACAAAAACAAACAAGAAACAAAAAGAACAAAAACAGATGCACAAATGCCAAACACGAAAACACACAATTTGGTTTAGGGATGTACATTTTAACTCAATGCTTCTCAATGGTGCTCAGTGTGTCCTCCATTCTGTTGAACGCAAGCCTCTAGTCTGGGGCACCACAGATGAATGGCTCGGTCAATAAACCTTTAAGGCAGTGCCTCCCAATCTTCCTTTGTAGCATCATGCAGGGATAGAAGGTCAATGAATTCGGACCTCCTTTTCATCCCAGCCTCAAGGTTATATTGATATTTTCGACAGCACATTTTGTTGCTGGTCATCAGAAAATAATTACAACTACTATAATTTTCAGGCCAGATGGCTGAAATTTGATATACAAATTCCAATTTTGTTACCCTATCAGCGTATCAAATTTAATTTTAAAAATCGGCAGCCTAAAAAGAGATTCACAACTCACAAAAAATGATTGCTTTGTTTTTGGCCCACCCTGTATATATAAAGGGCATTTCTATTAAATTATACATCTTTGAACGCTTATACCTCTGAGAGGACGCAACCAATCTTGATGAAAATTGACCACAATATGAATAACTTTTGCCAAAATGATCGACAGAGTCTTTTAATCCCTCTATCAGGTTGAAAAACTGATTCTATCAAAGCCTCTGAAATCAAGAGCTAATCAACTTGATAAAATGATTCAAAGCTCATCATTCATTAGATTATGCTTTGATCCAGAAGCTCTGAAAGTTTCATGATTTTATCGCATCTCCTGACTGAGATATCAATCGTCAAACCTTAGCCATTTAAAGCATTTCAGGTCATTCCACGCCAAATCGACCAGCGAGAAAGCTCGACCACATGGATTTTTACGAAAATCGGCATACACGTAGAGGAATCTATTTAAAGAGACAAATTTGAGCCAATTTTTAAAAATTTTATTAGCATTATTAGGGGTTGAGAAGTTGGTCTGGGTTTTGCCCAGAACAATTCTTTGTTATGAATTATCCTGTTACAAAGTTTATGGGAGGATCATTACGCCTCAAATGCCGTCACGGTCTATGCTCCATCATCTGAAAATTCATAAAGAGTTCGTCCAGTTTCGGTCTTAAACCGATTTTGACTAAATACGTATGTTTTAAACTGGCTTCAAGACAAAATCTTTTGAAAGGGCTCTCATATACTACTGGTTTTTGACAGAGAGAAACATCTATGTTCCAAAGGCTAAAAAAAAAGAATTATTACAGGTTCAATTTTCCTACCTAAAAAGGGACGTAGTGAAAAGATAGGAGGCACTTCGGCCAAAAACAACGCCCTCTATTAGCATACAGCGCCATCTTGCGGATTTGAAAAATCTCTTAATCTCATGAATCTCTTGGCAAGTATCAGCTGCATCCAACTGTCCCTTGAAAAGTCCTTGGCCTCCGTTTGAAGTTCAGACTAATATTTTAATCTACGGGCCAGTCTTAAAATAATCCGACCGTTTGCCAAATTTAATGGAATTCTGAAACGGTCGAGCACAGATCCTTACTTTACTTGAGGTGAAATGATCCACGTCTAAGCACAATTAATCCACCTCAAAAAGGGCATTGCACAACTTGGGCAGGGGTGGTGAAAAAAAGCTGACATATATCTCAACACCTTGTGACCGTCCTATGTCGACCACGCAGCCTAAGTAAAATTTTTGTCGCATTCACGAAACTTTGTTTATCACATGGAAAACGGCACAGCGTTTCTTTTTTATCACTCTATATACCTTCAATCCTCTATCCACATGCAGTGCTTTTTCTTCCGTTGTATGCGGCGCTGATAAGACCCCAGCTGGAATATTGCATCCAATTTTGGAGGCCTACAAATAAGGGCGTTTTGTTAGCGCTCGAGGGAGTATAGAGGAGGGCCACAAGAATGATTAAGGTCAGGGGACTAT